CCCCCCCCCCCCCCCCCCCCCCCCCAGTTTTTCCTAAGTAAACCTTACCCACAGAGGTGAAGTCCTTGAAGAGATCAGGCACTATCTTACTATCCAGCCCGTGACTAGGCTGTGCACTCTCCTGCAGCTCCTCGACTTCTTCTCTTGGGATTTCCTTCACCATCTAAACTCATCTCCACTGGTTTAGCCTCTTACCACTTCCTTTTTCCCAGTGCCTCTCGTAATCCGTCAGGACTGTGACTTTGTTTGTCCCCTCTATTACAGTGGAAACACCTTCGGCCTTTCACTTCTTGATTCACCCTCTTGGGTCTCTTTTTTTTTTCCACATGTGGTAAACTGTTCCCAATGTGACCTACTTTTTGTTCCTCATTGAAGGATCTCCCTTTTCCCCAATTTCTATCCCTCATGGAATGAAATTGCCATTGGAAGCTAGATTTCAAAGTATGGACGAATACGTGTTCATCTGCCATCTCTGCAGCTCTTCTCACAGTTTTAATTTTGTTCCTCAACATGAGTTCTTATCATTTCTGGAAGTGAATTTTTGAACTCCCTCAGCAGAATAATCTCTCTAAATCCTCATGTCTTCTCTATCATTAATGCTCTCACCCATGTATCAAAGTTGCTATGTTTAATTCTTTCAAATTCGACACAGGTCTGACCTGGTTCCTTCCTTGTATTTCTGAACTATTGTCTATATGCCTCCGGTGTTAATTCATACTAATTCAAAATAGCATGTTTTACTACCTCATATTCTCTTGAAACCTCATCTGGCAGCGCTGCAAACACCTCACTAGCCCTGCCTTCCAGCTTGGTCTGAATTAACATTACACACGCAGTGATAGTAAGAACTGCTGATGCTGGAGTCTGAGATAACAAGGTGTGCAGCTGGAGGAACACAGCAGGCCAGGCAGCATCTGAGGAGCGGGAAAGCTGACGTTTTGCGTCGGGACCCATTTTCAGAAGTGGGGGAGGGGAAGGGGGCTCTGAAATAAATAGAAGGCGGGGAGCGGTGATAACAGGTAGATAGCGGAGCAGATAGTTGGGAGAGAAGACAGACAGGTCAAGGAGGCGAAGATGAGTGGGGGTGCTGGTCTTGGGAAGAGGTTGGGGGCTGGGGAGACTTTGAAGCTAATAAAGTCCACATTGAAACCATTGGGTTGTAGGCTTCCAAGGCGGAATATGAGGTGCTGTTCCTCCAGTTTCCAGGTGGCATCGTTGTGACACTGGAGGAGGCCCAGGATGGACATGTCGTCCAGGGAGTGGGAGGGGAAGTTGAAGTGGTTCGCGACTGGGAGGTGTTGTCGTTTGTCACAAACTGAGCGTAGGCGCTCCACAAAGCGGTCTCCGAGCCTCCGCTTGGTCTCCCCGATGTAGAGGAGGGCACATCGGGAACAGCGGACATACTAGACCACATTAGCTGATGTGCAGGTGAACATCTGTTTAATGTGGAAGGTTTTTTTGGGACCTGGGATGGAGTTGAGGGGGGAGGTGTAGGGGCAGGTGTAGCACCTCCTGCGGTTGCAGGGAAAGGTGCCGGGTGTGGTGGGGCTAGTGGGGAGTGTTGAGCGGACGAGGGAGTCGCGGAGAGAACGGTCCCTCTGGAAGGCAGATAAGGGTGGGGAGGGAAATATATCCTTGGTAGTGGGGTCAGATTGCAGGTGGCAGAGAATGATGCTTTGTATCTGGCGGTTAATGGGGTGATATGTGAGGACAAGGGGAATTCTGTCTTTGTTTTTATTGTGGGGAGGGGATGTGAGGTCTAAGGTGCAGGAAGTTAGGCGGATAAGGGTGTCGGTGGAGGGGGACTAGTTGGGCCTGCAGGAGAGGAAGAAGCGGAGGGCTTTTAGGCCATCTGCATGGGGAATGCAAGTATACAGGGATTGGATGTCCATGGTGAAGATGAGGTAAGGCGGATAAGGGTGTCGGTGAAGGGGGACTGGTTGGGCTGTTAGGCAGATAAGGGTGTCTGTGGAGGGGGACTGGTTTCCCGCACCTCAGCCCTCACACCCCCTCCCTGCAATAAAAACAAAGACAGAATTCCCCTTGCCCTCATTTGGATGGTGCTTACTCTAAGATCTTACAGACTTCTGTGAGAACCAATGATTTTCTCTTTCTTTAGAGTTGAGGGTTATTGAGAGCTGTTCTCCTAACAGCTGGCAGTTCGCTCTCACGCAGAATTTCAAATGCCCTCTTCTTTTATACCCTCGATGACCTATTAATTTCAAAAATTCTATGCATTTGATGCTGCCTGCAGACATTTTTTAATCTCCAAGCCTAAAGAAAACGCATGTTTTTTTAAAGGGACCACATAGATTGCAGAGTGTTCAGCACCATTTATAACTCCTCACATCAAGGAGCAAGTGGTCCACAGCCACATCCAGCAAGACCGGACAATATTCAGAATCGAGCTGATAAATGGCACGTCACATTCATGCTGTTTAAGTGCCAGGCAATGACCAGCTCCCAACAAGAGGAAGTGTAACCATCGTCCCTTGACATTCAATGGCTTTAGCAACATTGCAACTCCCCACCCATCCAAACTTACATCCCATAATCATTGCCATCTTCTTGAGGGCATTTAGGAATGGGCAATAAAAGCTGACCTTGCGTGCTGTTCCCGTTTATTGGGCATGAATGATTTTTTTTAAAAAAAATTCCCACCCCTCCCCCCAACCTTTGCTCCTGAAAAGAATTCTAATATTTGACTTTTTTCTTCATAGGAAAACTATATGGCAGAGGATCCACAGATGACAAAGGACCAGTGTTGGCATGGCTAAACTGTATCGAAGCTCTTCAAAAATTAAAGCAGGTAATAAACTTTATCTTTCTGGCTGGTTTTTTGTTGAATGTGCTGTAATGCATTATCTCCAGAAGGCAAAGAACAGTTCAAAGATTTATGCTTATAACAGTTTTCCTCGGCCAGATAATAGATTTGCTCTGCCAGAATTGGTGTACAATTTAATGTTGGGTCACAGTTGCTGTGTAGGTATGTCATGGACCATGAACTTTGAGTAACCACTTATTTTTTAAACAGAAAAGGTGTGACTTTTGTCCGTTTCCTGAAAGGTTTGATGCTGCATTTTGCAGTGTTTACTCAGTGACCATTCACGTTTCATTGCAAAAGGATGTAAACTAATTTTTAAAATTATACGTACTGGTTTGCAATTAAGTTGTTGACCGTAGGTTTCACTCCATTTTGGATGGTTGTGGATCAGTGAGTTGCTTACTTTCTGAAGGCAACAATGATCGCTACCAGTTTAGTTTTGGAATGTCTGTGCAGCTCTTGCATCTAATGTGCAAGCAATTGAACTTGTTTTTTCTCTCCTTCCTCTGCTTTCCTCACTACCTTCTATTTTCTCCATTTCTTTCTCAATTTCTGCTGGGCTGCAGTTTCACACATGATTTGCAGTTGGGACACAAACTGGTATTTAATTCTGCCACAAGGCTTCTAAGAAGCCACTTGAGAGCAGTCTTGAGTAGAGACGTTGGTCCCCTTAATGCTATTCTAATGAAGGCAGATAGACCAGCCTCCACAGCCAGCAGCTCCAGAGGAGACAGCAACACTCAGCCCTGCCGAGTCTTCACCATCCCCCCAGACCTCCCCTTTACTGAGGACGAACGGTCAGTCCTCAGTAAAGGGCTCACCTTTGTCCCCCTCCACCCACACATCAACGAATACTGGTCACGTTTGGAAACATTGAGCAGTTTTTCCGCTGCTTCCGCCTCCACACTTACTTCTTCAACCGTGAGCCTAACCCTCCCTCTACTGACCCCTTCTCCCACCCCCAACACATCCCCTCTTCCTGGACACCACCCCAAGGCCTCCTACCCTCCCTCGACCTCTTCATCTCCAACTGCCGCCGAGGCATCAATCGCCTCAACCTCTTCACCCCTCTCACACACTCCAGCCTCTCCCCCGCAGAACGTGCAGCCCTCCGCTCCCTCCACTCCAATCCCAACCTCACCATAAAACCCGCGGACAAGGGAGGCGCAGTTGTAGTATGGCGCACTGACCTCTACATCGCCAAGGCCAGACGCCAACTCTCCGACACCACCTCCTACCGCCCCCTTGATCATGACCCCACCCCCGAGCACCAAACCATCATCTCCCAAACAATCCACAACCTCAGGTGACCTCCCACCCACAGCCTCCAACCTCATCGTTCCCCAACCCCGCACCGCCCGCTTCTATCTCCTTCCCAAAATCCACAAACCTGATTGCCCTGGTCGACCCATTGTCTCCACCTGCTCCTGCCCCACCGAACTTGCCTCCACCTATCTCGACTCCATTTTCTCCCCCTTGGTCCAGGAACTCCCTACCTACGTCCGTGACACCACCCACGCCCTCCACCTCCTCCAGAACTTCCAATTCCCTGGTCCCCAACACCTCATCTTTACCATGGACGTCAAGTCCCTATACACCTGCATTCCCCATACAGATGGCCTAAAGGCCCTCGGCTTCTTCCTTTCCCGCAGGCCGGACCAGTCCCCCTCCACTGACGCCCTCATCCGCTTAGCGGAACTCGTCCTCACCCTCAACAACTTCTCTTTCAATTCCTCCCACTTCCTACAGACAAAGGGGGTGGCCATGGGTACCCGCATGGGCCCAAGCTACGCCTGCCTCTTTGTAGGTTACGTGGAACAATCCCTCTTCCGTACCTACACTGGCCCTAAACCCCACCTCTTCCTCTGTTACATTGATGACTGTATTGGCGCCGCCTCGTGCTCGCATGAGGAGCTCGAACAGTTCATCCACTTCACCAACACCTTCCACCCCAACCTTAAGTTCACCTGGACCATCTCTAACACCTCTCTCACCTTCCTGGACCCCACTGTCTCCATCTCGGGCAACCATCTAGAAACCGATATCCATTTCAAGCCCACCGACTCCCACCTAGAATACCGAGAATACACCTCCTCCCACCCACCTTCCTGCAAAAATGCGATCCCCTATTCCCAATTCCTTCGCCTCCGCCGCATCTGCTCCCAGGATGAGGCATTCCACTCCCGTACATCTCAGATGTCCTCGTCCTCGTTTTTCAAGGACCGCAGCTTTCCCCCCTCAGTGGTCGAGAACGTCCTCGACCGTGTCTCCCGCATTTCCCGCAACTCATCCCTCACACCCCGTCCCCGCAATAACAACCAAAAAAGAATCCCCCTCATCCTCACGTACCACCCCACCAACCTCCGGATCCAACGCATCATCCTCCGACACTTCCGCCATCTGCAATCCGACCCCACCACCAAAGACATTTTTCCCTCCCCACCCTTATCTGCTTTCAGGAGGGACCACTCTCTCTGTGACTCCCTTGTCCGCTCCACACTCCCCTCCAGCCCCACCACACCCGGCACTTTTCCCTGCAATCGCAGGAAGTGCTACACCTGCCCCCACACCTCTTCCCTCGCCCCCACACCTCTTGCCTCACCCCCATCCCAGGCCCCAAGAAGACTTTCCACATCAAGCAGATGTTCACCTGCACATCTGCTAATGTGGCATACTGCATCCGCTGTATCCATTGTGGCCCCCTCTACATCGGGGAAACCAAACAGAGGCTTGGGCACTGCTTTGCAGAACACCCACGCTCGGTTCGCAATAAACAACTGCACCTCCCAGTCGCGAACCATTTCAACTCCCCCTCCCATTCCTCAGACGACATGTCCATCCTGGGCCTCCTGCAGTGCCACAACGATGCCACCGGAAGGTTGCAGGAACAGCAACTCATATTCCGCTTGGGAACCCTGCAGCCCAGTGGTATCAATGTGGATTTCACAAGCTTCAGAATCTCCCCTCCCGCTACCGCATCCCAAAACCAGCCCAGCTCGTCCCCGCCTCCCTAACCTGTTCTTCCTCCCACCCATCCCCTCCTCCCACCTCAAGCCGCACCCCCATTTCCTACCTACTAACCTCATCCCGCCCCCTTGACCTGTCCGTCCTCCCTGGACTGACCTATCCCCTCTTAACTCCCCACCTACACTCACCTTTACTGGCTCCATCCCCGCCTCTTTGACCTGTCTGTTTCCTCTCCTCTATCCATCTTCTATCCGCCTCCCCCTCTCTCCCTATTTATTTCAGAACCCCCTTCCCCTCCCCCATTTCTGAAGAAGGGTCTAGGCCTGAAACGTCAGCCTTCCTGCTCCTATGATGCTGCTTGGCCTGCTGTGTTCATCCAGCTCTACACCTTGTTATCTTAGGTTAGAGGTGAAGCCTTGGCAACTTTCTAGTTTGGTAGAATAACAAAGCAATCTCTAATCCAGAGTCATAGAGTTGTTACGGTGCTGAAGGAGACCATTCAACCCACCATGTCTGCACTGGCAAACTAAATGAGCACCTCACCTAGAACCACTCCTTTGCCTTCACCCTGTAAAGCCTGCACATTCTTTTTTTCATGATTGCCGTCTAATTCCTTTCTAAATGCTTCAACTGAATGCTGTGCATTCCAGACCCTAACCATTCACTGTGTGAAAAAGATATAACAAGGTGTAAAGCTGGATGAACACAGCAGGCCAAGCAGCATCAGAGGAGCAGGAAGGCTGACGTTTCGGGCCTAGACCCTTCTTCAGAAATCTCCAGCATTTCTCCAGCATCTGCAGTTCCTGCTATCTCTAAAACACTGTGTGAAAAAGCTTTTTCTCTTGTCACTTTTTTCTGCTAAGTACCTTCAATTGTGACCTCTCATTCGCAATCTTTTCAGGAGTAGGAACAGTTTTTTCTCTATTTGCTCTGTCTGTTCCACCTTATGAATTTGAATACCTCTATTGAATCACCACCCCGCCTTCTCTCCTTCCAAGAAAAACAGTCCTGAGTTCTCCAATCTATTATCTGAACAGAAATTTGTCATCCCTGGAACCACTCCCGTGAATCTGTTCTGCATTCTCTCCAACACCTTCACTTCCTTCCCAAAATGCGACACCTAGAGCTTGGTGCAATGCTCCTAGTGAAGCCAAACTAATGACTTTGTACACTGTTTGAATTTGTGGTTTACAAAGAGTTCAGTACCTCTTAGAAAGAGAGATAGCAGATGGATACAACAGCCCTGAGCACAGAATAAATTTGCTTGGACACTGCACCCTGCTCAATAAATTTATAATGAGCCTGTATTATCAGCCATATTGATGAGCCAGCCTCTGTTTTTATTATTTAGAATCTTATTGACAGCACATGATGCAAGTACGGATGGGTTTCTGTAGCAGTACAAGGCAGCTGTCTGAAAATCCCATAGTTATTGTCCCTGGTACTCGTTATGTATAAACAACCAAAGATCTTGCTGGTTTTATTAGTATTTGAGTCAATAAATCTTATCAGTTCATTTTGTACATTAAATGCAGTTCTCGGTGAATACAAAATACCATGTGATATTTAAGCCAGATTAATTAGTCATTTTTGGCTTCACAAACCGGTTGTTTCTTCCAGTTTTTTCTTTCTGGAATTTAAGAAAAAAAACTAGATCAATATGACCATGTAACTACTCCCAGTTGTTGTAAAACTCATCTGGTTCACTAATGTCCTTACATGGTCTGACCTAGATATGTCTCCAGAGGCATAATGATGTGGTTAATCTTAACTGCCCTCTGAACAATTTAGGGATGGGCTTTAAATACTGGCCCAGTCAGTAAAGCTCCTGTCCTGTGATCAAATTTTTAGGAAAAATGTGAATGTGATAATTTTTCTGTACTACATGACGACTGTATAACTCATTCTGGAGGCTGTGATTTATGTTCACTACATTTGAAGTGCAAGATAATTTCTTATGTTGCAGGAACCGTGACTGATTTCCTTGTGTCCTTTCTGTAGGAAATCCCTGTCAATATCAAGTTCTGCTTTGAAGGAATGGAGGAATCTGGCTCAGAGGGTCTTGATGACCTAGTGTATGCCCGCAAAGACACCTTTTTCAAGGATGTGGATTTTGTTTGTATTTCTGACAATTACTGGCTCGGCAAGAAAAAGCCCTGTATAACGTATGGTCTCCGAGGCAACTGCTTTTTCTTTGTGGAGGTATGTTTTTGAGTTTCTTTTATTTTGCACCTTAGTTTTTCTTGATTTTTCAGATGTTGTGACTTGCACACTTGTTAAATTCACTGTTGCTTCCTGTAGCTCTTGGCAATGTTTTCAAATTCTAGATTCAATGTGCAGTAGCAAGCTTTGATAAAACAGAAAATGCTGGAGAACCCTCAGCCAGTCAAGTGACCCCTGCAGAGATAGTAATAGCTAATGTTTCTGATCAACGCCCCTTCACAAAACTGGAGATTATCCATTTATCAGCTCCTCATCAGCCAATACAAAGACAGAAAGAAAGTTTTTAGTGGGAGGAAACAACAGAATGGCAGGTTGTTTAAAATAGGGTGGTAGGGAGGGAAGAAAGTGATAATCGTACTAGGTAATGGGCTTTTGGAATGGAAAAAGAAACAAAAGTTGGATCCAGAGAACATACCAGATTTCAGGGTCAGAGTACTTTGATTTCATTTTTCCATAGAATCCCTACAGTGTGGAAACAGGCCCTTCGGCCCAACAAGTCCATACCAACCCTTCGACATCCCACCCAGACCCATCCCCCTATTACCCACTGAGTCTACACATCCCTGAATGCTAAGGGTAATTTAGCATGGCCAATCCACCTAACCTGCACATCTTTGGAAACTGGAGCACCCGGAGGAAACCTATGCAGACGCTGGGAGAATGTGCAAACTCCACACAGACAGTCGCCCGAGGGTGGAATCGAACTGGGGTCCCTGGTGCTGTGAGGCAGCAGTGCTAACCACCGAGCCACCATGCCGCCCCGATTCATGTATTTTAATTCTGGCACAATGGTATGAGGTCTTTGGATATTGACCAGTGCTGCATCTGATGGATTAGTATGTCCTGTATTTGAAGGACTGCACTGGAGCAAAGTACTCCATTCTTCTCTAATCATTGGATTCGCCCATCACTTCGCCAAATGAGCCTTCAGCAAAAAATCTGGTTAACATTCTGGTTTGATGTTGTTTGTGTGTGACATTAGACCCAGTGTTGATTGTGCACAACCAGTGGCCAATCCTGCATATGATGTCCATGTGGGAGGGATGGTAGAGGCATTGAATTTCTTCCACACTCACTTCTCCCCATTCCTTGGTGAAAGAAGCTCCTTCACTTTGGTTAGTCCAAGGTGTTTTCTTTCCAGAGGCATTGCTGCAGTAATCTGACAGTAAAGAATTGAAATGTGCTGTGTAAATGCAAAGTATCAGATATTAACATGTTATGGTTTCAATGCCTAGGTTGAATGCTCTAACAAAGATCTGCACTCCGGTGTCTTTGGTGGTACTGTGCACGAAGCCATGACCGACTTGATATATTTACTGGGTAAGAGCTCCTAGATCACTGACACCAGGATCGCCGTAGCTGGGCTGACTCTATTCAAGTCCCAAGGGAACTAGGGAGAGGCAATAAATGCTGATCCAGTCAGTGACTCCTACATCCAGTCAGTGACTCCCACATCCAATAAGTGAATTTACAAAATCTGGTTTGTAATTAAGGGGACCCACTATGTTCTAAGAGTTGAATTAAGGAGTACGGGGGCAAAAAATGGACAAGTTATGTCAAATGTGTATCAAAGAGTGCATTTCCTGTAACATGCTGTCTTTTACATGTATATCCTGTTGGTATGGAGGACCAGATTTTCTTTTATGCCTGTTATTTATTCAGTTTGTGCACAAATAGACTGTTAATGTCCTTTCACTGGGTGGAACACCAAGGACGTTGTCTTTTATTTTAAGAAACTGTAATAGTTGACAAGATGAAAGGTGTCATTCTGGACCATGTATTCTCCCCACCCCCATCCTAATCTTACTAATATTGCAGGCAGCAGAGGTCTATTATCGATGACAGGAAAGTTTGCATCACCACTTATGCTTTATTGTTCATTTGAAAAACATTTACACGAGAGTTTGCTGCATTTTTATTTAAATTAAAATTATTTGGTGCACTTCACTTACTATTTGACACCAACCCAGTGCAATTTGCTGATAGTGCTCTTTGCTGTTGACTATAATGAATGTCAGTTTTCTGCAATGGTTTTCTTCTTGCAAGACTGAAAAATCCTCCACATCAATCCCATGAATTTCTAAATCCTCAGGTATGGGTTAAATTGAAGAATTCAAGAGGGCATTAGATATCTCTATTCAAGTAATCAATGTGCAAAGATTTGGGAAAAAGGCAGGAGATTGGAACTAAGTCAAAATTCTCATTTTAACAAATCTGGTACAGAAATGATGGGCCAAATGGTTTCCTTCTCCGACTTTGTGGTTGTAGGGAGCTGGGAGGGTTGGTTCGCCAAGCCATTTTTGCACAAGTGTACATTACATGAGACAACAAGGTGCAGGGCTGGATGAACACAGCAGGCCAAGCAGCATCATAGGAGCAGAGAGGCTGACATTTCGGGCCTAGACCCTTCATGCTTAGCCCCTGTCTTCCAACATTGCCACCTTCTGGCGAGACTTGGGATTGAAGCATGGTCTTCATCATAGTGACAAACAGTAAGCCTGAAATCGACCAATTTACTGTTTCAGACACATACACAAACGCACGCATGCACACACAAACTCTCTCTCCTGTGTGTGTGTGTTTGTGTGTGTAAAATAGAGATTCTCAGAAGCTCCATTAAAGAGTGAATAGCTTTATTATTAATTGTCCAGGCTTTCAGTACGAGTTGCAGATCATTCACTTGCTTGACTTTGTGCCAACTGTTAGTAGAAATTATTATTTATTGGTAATGTTGGTAAATATTAGTTGATGCAATAGTATGAAGTTGGGTAGACATATCAGATAAGCAGTCTAACCGAAGTCCTGATTTCAATAGGCAAACTAGTGGACAGTAAAGGAAAAATTCTCATTCCTGGCATTGAAGAATCAGTGGCACCACTCACTGAGGAGGAAAAGGCATTGTATGAGAAAATAGACTTTGATGTGGAAGAATATTGCAAAACTACAGGCGGCTGCCAACTGCTGCATGCCACTAAGGTATGTTTATTTACAATTCAACATTCTGTAGATAATTGTATTGATGTCCAAATCCAAGCTCCGTTCCTGACAGTCTCTAAGAATTACACATTTTGCCATCATTAGAGTGCACTTGATGTGGATTTATTAAAGGTGTGAATCTATAGGAAGTTAAAACTTCAATAGTTAAGCAGAATTTTCTTCTTCTTCCATGGGTAAAGCCAGCATTTGTGACCTACCTCTACTTCTATGGTGTTGAAAGGCTTGCTTAGCAATTTCAGAGGGCAATTAAGAGTCAACCACTCTGCTATTTATCTGAGGTCAAGTAGGACAAATGAGGTAAAAACAGCAGTTTCCTTCCCTAAAGGTCATTAGTGAACTAATGGGCTTTTATGATGATCAATAGTTGTCATGGTCACTCTCACTGAGTAGTTTTCTATTCAATATTTACTGGTTGAACAATGTTAGCCTAGACCTCTGGGTTACTACTGCAGTGACATTACCATTAAACCACCGGATTTTGCAGGTAGTGACAATCGGATAGCACTTTTATTCATTATGCTAATACTTGCTGACAGTTTTTTTTGCATTTAAACTTGCTATTTTGGCACAGCATCATCTACAGGAGACCTATCACCTCCACAATCAATCAGACTGAACAATACTCATTGAGGCATATAGTGTTCAACACTTGAAGCAAATTAGAATATTTTATTTCAATGTTAGATCATGTGTCAAAAGCAAAATAAAGTGAAGAGGAATGAGGATTAAGTGAGAAATAGGACGTGAGTAAATAAATGTGTTTTAATTTTAATTTTTTATAGCTGTCCAATATTAAAGTTGGAGAAATGAACTCCATACTTCATGGGCCGTGTGATTGTTTGCCAGAAATGAAAATATTTATCTGAATTAAATTGCATGCACTCTCTATTAGAGGAGCTCTAATCTTTCTGTTATCTTTAGCGGGTATGTCCTGTTTAAGCACTGCAACTTCACAGCTCTCGTGCTGAGTATCTTAATACTAATGTTTCAAAACCTGTGGAGGAAATTAGTTGTATCTGTGGAGACGCCAGGATTTATTCCTGAGTCATGGTTAGCCCTAACAACCTCCTAGGACAAAATCCAGACCATTAATTTATAAACTTATGCGCTGTAGAGATCTACAAACTTAGCCATTAAGTGAAAAGTTAGAAATTTTTAATGTGACATTAACCCCAGGTGATTCCTCCTTAGAATACTAGCAAATATTTAAATATAGGCCTTCTGAAAAAAATTGCCTTTCAACATTCAGAAGGGTTGACTTAAAAAAAACAAAGGAAGCTGTTCAATGCATTTAAATTGCAGAAATTTAGCTAACTATTGTGTAAGTAGTTAAGTAGAATTGTTTGAAAAGGAAACTTTGGATTTTGACATATATGCTGAATTAAGACAAAAAAGGTTAAATTTGTATTGAATTACAAATGTTACAGTACTGTTTGATTTGCTCAAATATGGCAACATGACGCCACAACAAGATATGCTGAAATCCAGAACAAACATGTTTTTTTTAAAATTTGAAATACATCTGACTTTTATGTTAGTGTTTGAGACCACTTTATTTTAAGTTCATTGCACAACTCATGGTTTGGTCTTCTCTCCTTGTTAAACTGTGGTGCCCCTTTTGATCATTGCTTACAGGAACAAATTCTGATGCATAGATGGAGATATCCATCCTTGTCTTTACATGGCATTGAGGGAGCTTTTACTGGTTCAGGAGCTAAAACTGTAATTCCTGGGAAAGTTACTGGAAAGTTTTCCATTCGATTGGTGCCTAATATGGATCCAGTGGTAGTAGAGAAACAGGTATGGAACTTTTACTGTGGAAACAACAGATGTTTGCTTTAGACATGCTCTCTCATTTGATCTCCACATGCTTTATACAATCTCCTTAGACCCTTTTCCTCCTCATTCACTTGTACATTCTGTGCACCCTTGTACAAAATCTGTTACATCTAACTCCTAAACTGGTGGAATACATCCGATGAAATCTCTCGCTTAGCAGTTCAAAAGTAAAGCCAAAATACTAAGGGTGTTGGAAACTTTGAAACAAACACAGAATGCTGGAGAAACTGGGCGGGTTTGCCAACTTCTGTTCACTTTTCAAGCCTGATATGACTGTTCAGATTGGTTTGAGTGTCATGTTAGGATTTCTTTCAATTTGATCAAAATGTAAAATGAACAGTTTTGTTATTAGTGGATGACCAAAACCTAGTTAACCTGAAATGTGTTAGCACAGTGTCCTTTATCAGCAGTTCAAAACCAGCCAAAATCAAGGTTGGGAAGCATGGTGTTACTTCCAAGTAGAAATGAGAAATATAATTGAGGAGTCATCATAGTTTCTGACGTGAATCCCTTGCTTAATCAACCTTATTGAAATCTGCAAGGAGTCAGAGTGGATGATGGTAAAAATTACATGTAATTTAACTGGATTTTCTAAAGGCCTTTGATAAGGTGCCCCGTAATAGATAAATAACATCAGAGAATGTGGGTTTTGGGAACAAGTGATGAAATGGGTTAATCCAGCCAATTACCTCCCTTTACTGTCAAATAAAAGTAGACAAAATTGTCTCGCAGTACCCACCCAACATTTGCTCTCTAATGTTCAATTTACATTTTACCAGGACCAGTCAGCTCTTGAGCTCATTACAGTCTTTGTTCAAACATGGACAAAGGCGCAAAATTGCAGGGCGAGGTCGGAGTGACTTGTCCTTAAATTCAAGTCTGCATTTGATCGAGTGATTGAATTGACCTGGTGAAACTGGAGTGAGTAGGAATGGGGGGAAGGTTCTGTGTTGGTTAGAGCCAGACCTGGCACATAGGAAGATGGCTGTGGTTGTTGGAGGTTAATCATCTCAGCTGCAGGACATCTCTGCACGAGTTCCTCAGGGTAGTGTCCTAGGTTCAGTCATCTACAGCTGCTTCGCTAACAAACTGCTCTAATTAAATTCCACACTAAGTGGTTAAAGTGGATCTTTCTGGAACCTGATTGCAGATTAATTTGGATTAACAATTACAGAGGAATTGAATACTTTCCCTTTAACATAAATGACAGCTTTCCAGTTTTTTTCTTCCCCTCCCCTTTCCATACTCTTATTAAGAATTCATTTTCACTTTTTAGGTTGTAGATTACATCAAGAGGATTTTCGCTGAATTTGGAAGTCCCAACACACTGAAGGTCCACATGAGGCATGGTGCAAAGGCCTGGCTGGCGGACTATAACCATCCTCACTTCAAAGCTGGCAGAAATGCAATGAAAACAGGTTTTTGACGGAATCTTATTTGAATACTTGTTTTACGTTTACAGCAACCTTAACATGCAATAACTGGACAAGCATCCACATTTTAGAGCTGATCCTACTGACTTAACTCAGTTCTGAAGAAGAGTCACTGGACCCGAAACATTAACTCCCCCTTGTCTCCACAGATGTTGCCGCACTTGCTGTGTCTCTCCAGCAATTTCTGTTTCTGTTTCAGTTTCAGATTTCCAGCATTTGCATTTCTTTGTATTTTTTAAAAGCTAACTGGTTTGTATTTGTCTAAACATGCTCAATTACCCTTTTTAATTAACATTAGCTGTTTGACAATCAACTGACACTATTTCCTAATGAACTACTACAATAGTGTCTCTGCTGTTACCTTCCTTATCTACTTTTAATGAGTGTGTATGTAATCTAATGAATCAGAGTTGTATTCTTTAGGATCCTTTATCCTTCACAAAGAGCAAAATACTATGGACACTGGAAATCTGAAACACAAATGGGGAAAGAAACCAGAAGTCTGATAACATTTGTGGACAGGTACAAGACGAGTGTATCGTGGTAATTAGCATTCACTAGTGCTGGGGGACTTCAAAGATGTGATTAGGTTTAAAGCAAAGCAAAGGAAAGGGGGGAGTGTGGGAAAAAGACAAAAGAGAGGTTATGTGATCAAGAGGGAATAAGGAAGTGGGGACAAGCTTGATGATGCAAAGCCAAAGGGAGTGGAATAAAATAAGATCTGAAATTTTACCCTGATGTTCCCACCACCCCTCCACAACCTATCCCAAACCCTGCAATTTAGACTATTTGACAAATTGAACCTGACTATCTTTTGACATTTTATATTATGGAAATAGAGAGAGGACAAAACGAATATATACTGAATAGAAAACCTTTTTAAGGCTGGGGTTAGAGGCATTGATGTGTGACAACATCTTATGCAAGGATTTTCATTTGTTGAAATTCTCGTGGATAGATTTTTATCAATATAGAATACAGTAGAACTTATCCTAGAGCAGTGTTTTTAGAAAAGTAACCCGCTGTTTTTTGGGTCTGTAGATTTTTTGAGGTGCAGAGATGGCCTTCAGTAGAGACATGTACTCTTCCTGTCAGATGTGGGATTATTAGGAAGAATTTCAGTCTTCCAGATGATTACGTCTGCAGGAAGTGTGTTTGGTTGTGAATCCTTTGGACCGATTGGAGCAGCAGTTAGAGGCAATGAGGAATTTCCAGGAGCCAGAGGGTGTCTTGGATGGCAGTTTGAGGAAGGTAGAGAAACCGCAGATACTGGTAGATTAGTCCCCTCGTAGGAGAGGTAGACAAATGGTGCAGAAGTCCCATGTAGCTATCCCTTTCTCAAACAAGTATGCTACTTTGCAAAATATAGGGGGTAATGGGCTCTTGGGTGAAAGTAGCACTGCAGTCAGGTTTCTGGTACCGAGACTGACTCTAATGTAATGAAGGGTATGTCAGTTTCAAGAGATCGATTGTGATGGGCACTGTCTAGTCAGGGGCACAGATCAGTGTTTCTGTGGCAGAATAGTGTGTTGCCTCCCTGGTGCCAGGGTCAAGGATGTCTCTGAGAGGGCGCTGAATTTTCTCAAAGGGGACAGTGACAGGCAGGAGGTTGTTGTACATGTTGGCACCAACAACATAGGAAGAGACAAGGATCTGAAACGAAAATATAGGAAATTAGGCAGGATGTTAGAAAATAGGGCCTGAAGGTGAGTAATATCTGGATTACGCCCAGTGTAATGTGCTAGTGAGAATAGAAATGGGGAATACAGCAGATGAATGCGTGGCCGAGGACGTGGTCCAGGGGGCAGGGATTCACATTTTTCGATCATTGGAATCTTTTCTGGGGTAGAAGTGACCTGTATGAAAAGGATGCGTTGCACCTGAATTGAAAGGCTCCTGCAAATTCCTCACCTGGTGGAGAGATTTGCTAGTGCTACTTCGGAGGCTTTAAAGTAGTAGAGGGGGAAGCCTTCAAAAATGAGAGTCCAGAGACAATGTGTTCCTTATTAATGTGAAGGATAAGACTAGTAGGTGCAGGGAATGCTCGATGACTGGAGAAATTGAGACTGTGGTCAAGAAAAAGAAGGAGGCATAAGGCAGGTATAGACAGCTGGGATTGAGTGAAACGCTAGAGGAGTATAAGAGCAGTAGGAGAATACTCCAGGGAAATCTGGAGGGCAAAAAGGGGATGTGAGAGAGCTTTAGTAAAAAGAGTTAAGGAGAATCCGAAGAGATTCTACAAATATATTAAGGACAAAAGAGTAACTAGGAAGAGAATAGAGTTCCTTAAAGATCAACAAGGCTGTCTGTGTGGAACTGCAGGAGATGGGTGAGATATTAAACAGGTATTTCATGTCACTGTTTACTGTGGAGAAGGATATGGAAGCTAGAGAACTTGGAGAAATAAATAGCGATATCTTAGTGTCCATTTTACAGAGGAGGTGGTGCTGGACGTCATAAAATGTATAAAGGTAGATAAATCCCTGGGACCTGATCAGGTGTATCCCAGAATTTTGTGAAAAACTAGGGAAGTGATTGCTGAGCCCTTTGCTGAGATATTTGTATGATCGGTAGCCACAGGTGAGGTGCCAGAAGACTGGATGGTGGCTAGTGTGGTGCCATTATCTAAGAAAGGTAGTAAGGAAAAGCCAGGGACCTTTAAATCGGTAAGCGGGCGTCAGTTGTGGGCAAGTTATTGGGTATTCTGAGGGACAGAATTTACATGTAGTTGGAAAGGCAAGGACTGATTAGGGATAGTCAACATGGTTTTGTGCATTGGATATCGTGCCTCACTAATTTGAGTTTTTTTGAAGAGGTGACAAAGTAGAATGCTGAAGGCAGAGCAGTGGCCATTGTCTCTGGACTTCAGCAAGACGTTTGATAAGGTTCTGCATGGTAGACCGGTTAGCAATGTTAGATTGCATGGAATCCAGGGGTAGCTAGCCATTTGGATACAAAATTGGCTTAAAGGTAGGAGACAGAGCGTGGTAGTGGGGCATTGTTTGTTGGACTGGAGGCCTATGACCAGTGGCATGCCAGAAGGAACAGTGCTGGCTCCACAGCATTTCATCATTTTATATAAATGATTTGGATGTGAACATAGGAGGTACGATTGGAATGTTTGTAGATGACACCAGAATTGGTGGTGTAGTGGAAAGTGAAGAAGTTTACCTCGGAGTACAACAGGACCTTGATCAAATGGGCTAATGGGCTGAGGTGTGGCAGATGCAGTTTAATTTAGATAAACGCAAGATGCTGCATTTCATGAGACAAATCAGGGCAGGACTTACACACTTATTGATAGGAACCTGGGAATTGTTGCCAAACAAAGAGACCTATGGGTGCAGGTTCATAGTTCCTTGAAAGTGGAGCAGCAGGTAGCCAGGGTGGTGAAGAAGGCATTTGGTATACTTGCCTTTATTGGTCAGTGCATTGAGTATACAAATTGGAATGTCATGTTGCGGCGATACAGGACATTGGTGAGGCCACTTTTTGAATACTGCATTCAATTCTGGTCTCCCTGCTATAGGAAAGAGGTTGTTAAACTTGAAAGGGTTCAGAAAAGATTTACAAGGATGTTGCCAGGGTTGGAAGATTTGAAGTATAGGGAGAGGCTGAATAGACTGAAGTGTTGGAGGCTGAAGGGTGATCTTGTAGAAATTTATAAAATCATGAAGGTAGGGGAGTCCAAAACTAGAGGACATAGGTTTAAGGTGAGAGGGGAAACATTTAAAAGGGACCTAAAGGGGCAGATTTTTCAGACGGAGGGTGGTACATGTTGATAAAATCAGCTGCCAGAGGAAATGGTGAAGGCTGGTACAAGTACAACATTTAAAACTTATTGGATGGGTATGTGAACAGGAAGGGTTTCAAGTGATGTGGGCCACAAGCTGACAAATGAGACTGGATTAATTTAGGGTATCAGGTTGGCACGGACAACTTGGACCAAAGGGTCTGTTTCTGTGCTGTAGAACTCTATCAGTTTAAACCAGACCCTCAGTGGTGATGATGCAACTGGTTAATGTTGGCAGTGTATTTTTAACAAAAGCAGAAGTTGTTGGAAATGCTCAGCAGGCCTGGCAGCATCTGTGAAGAGAAATCAGAATTAATATTTCGGGTCCGGTGACCCTTGGAACTGAGGAAGGGTCACCAGACCTGAAACACTAACTTTGATATTTCTTCACAGATGCTGCCAGACCTGCTGAGCTTTTCCAGCAACTTCTACTTTTGTTCCTGATTTACAGCATCCGCAATTCTTTTAGTTTTTATTTAGTGTATTTTTAATCTTGTTTTCAATTACGAACTTGGAAATGCTCTCTTTTCTTCTTAAGTATTTGGAGTTGAACCTGATATGACCAGAGAAGGGGGGAGTATTCCAGTTACCTTGACATTCCAGGAGGCTACAGGAAAAAGTGTTCTGTTACTGCCGATTGGAGCTGCAGATGATGGGGCTCATTCACAGAATGAGAAAATCGACCGGTAAGAGATGTTTTGCTTAAGCATTGACCCCACCTGCCTCTTTGAATTTGTCGGTTCAGTACTTCTGTTAATTTGTGAATCTGTACAATTGCATTCATACAAAATAATGTCAGCTCCTTCCTGCTCAGCACTTTCTTAAAAGTACTGACAAGTGTCCTCTATGGGGAGGTTAAAGCCTGTATTTATGGGATATTCACATACGCTTGCAGACAAAGCAAGAATCACAGATGTGTTTTAGTTATGTCCTTTCCCTACTTCCTCCTTCCTGCCACCACCCCCCACCCTGTCCAAACAAGAGCACAGGACACTGAGCCAAATCAGATTTTGTATTATTGTCTAGTTAGTCTGCTACTGTTTTTTTTAATCTAAGTACATGCACACATTCCCTTTCATGTTCTCAATTACCTCTCTCATTTCCCAATGCCAATCCCTCTACCTGTATAACACAACACATGAGGTGGATATAGACAGTTCCCTTCATTCTGAGGGGGTCAATTTTTTTTTAACGTATTTGTTACCTTCCTGCTGTACTCTTAGAACAGTCAAAATACTTACTTGGAACAGCTAAGTTGTTTCAGGTTGATGTATGGTTGAAATCTATGTTTTCAAAATGAAAACCCTGTAAATTAAGCTGTATTTAAGAATTTACCTGTTTCTAACTAACAATTTACAGTAGGTAAACAGGCTATTACACCCACACCACAACAGCACCTTCCAACCCACAAACACTACCATCTAGGATTACAAGGGCAGCAGATAGATGGGAACACCATCACCTGCAAATGCACCTCCAGTCCACTTCCCATTCTGAGTTGGAAATGTATCACCAGTGTTACTAACTCGAAATCCTGGAACTTCCATCCTAAGATCATAGCAGGTGTCCCGAGGCAGCTCATCACCTTCTTGAGGGCACCTGGGGATGGGCAAGAAATTCTGGCCTAGCCAGCAAAGCCCACACCCTGTGAATTTTTTAAAATTTGATTAATGCACCCCCGCCCCCACTATGACAGCATGACTGTCTTTAAAAGCAAAATATTGCAAATGCTGAAAATCTGAAACAAACAATGCTGGAGAAACTCCACAGATCTGACAACATTTGTGGAGAGAGAAGCAGAGTTTGACATTTTGAATCTAATGTGACCCCAGCTCCTACAAAGTTCTATCAGACTGAAAAACTTTAACTCTGTTTCACACTCCATAGATGCTGCCAAACCTCCTGAATGTCTCCAGTATTTTTTGTTTTTATGTCAGCAGGCACTTCTAATTCCTTTCTCCATATTGTAATCTAGCTTTCCCTTTAATGCATCAATGTAACCAAGCACACAACCAGAATCAGCCTTCACTTTGTAAAGGCATTTTATTCCATTTTAATTTGCCCCATTTAGATTTTTTAAACCTGCTTTATCACTTCTAATATTTAACATTATACTTTGAAAGTTGCATAGAATATCTGTTTCTATTTATGTATTGCCTTTCTTGTAGGACAATATCTCATGGCACTTCACCAAAGAGGAATCAAACAAAAGAACAAATTGGGTGGGTTCAGGATGTGGGGAGTTTGGTCAAAGAGGTGGGTTTTAAAGGCAGGGTTGGAATATGGGAGCCTGAGCGTGGAACCTGATCTGTCTAGTGGAACAGAGACTGGAGGAACACAATTTGAGGGGCACTGTTCAAGCTGGAAAAAATGATAGGCAAGAGTCGAGGCATGACAGAAGTTTAAATATATAGATTCTTACAATTGTTATTGTTCTTCCAACAGGTTCAACTACATTCAGGGAATCAAGGTGTTTGGTGCTTACTTGCATAAACTTTCTTCTTTGAAATGAGAACTACTGGCTTGATAGAATTGCTGAAACGATTTCTAAAATTCTAGACCAAATTCCTTTAATTCTACACTATATGTAGACATTATTACTGAATGTGTTTATTGATACAAATGACAACACTCTCTGCAATAAAAGTGTAAATATTAAAGTTTACTGAATTTGTTTTCTTTCTTGATTTAAAATTAGAACAAGTCCACATAGTTTTATCAAGCAGGGAATTTCATTTGTTTTTCAGAATGTAACTAATAAGGTCAATTTTGATTCAAAAATATCTTAATCTGTTCAGACATGTTATTACATCTCTCTGAAGTGGGTGGGACTTGAACCCAAGCCTCTTGTCCCAGAGACAGGGATACTGCAATTTCCCCATAAAAGCCCCTCTATCAAGATAGCCACGTTGCATGAAACTAGGATTCATAGCCAAATTTCTGTTTCGCTTCAGTGGCTTGCTTTAACTAGACTGTGTTATAAACTGGAATTTAACTCAACAGACCAGCCACTATGAACCTGAAGCCAACATTTTCAACCATCACCTGCCATATATGATCAATTTAAAGGGGAGCCAGGAGATGTTGTACACCTGGATTTCCAAAGGCATTTAATAAGGTGTCACACTAAAGCTGAATGGACAAAATGAGTTGGGTGATTATGTTATCATAGAAAGAGCTAATGAACAGGAAGCTTGAACTAAATAGTGTGTTTTCACATTGATATGGAACAAATAGTGGAGTGCCGCAAGGGCCACAAGACTATAAGATGAGGTTGAATTGATTATCCTTTATCATCACATACATTCAAAATAAAATGCAGTGAAAAGCGTGCACTATCACTCTTACATAAGCACCATTCATAGAATAAAATAAATAAAGATAACTTAAAGAGAATCCAACTTTCCTTCTTCGCTGCTATACCAACGCCAGAGTCCTGCTCCAGGCTACAACAGTGTGAGCCATGCTGCTTTTGGGGGCCTACTCCACGTGGAAAACGAGAGCCCCCCCCTCCAGGCCTCACAGGCCAACCAACTCAGCCATTGTCTCTAAAAATGCCGCCACCACTCCAGAGACCATCGAAGAAGCCTCCCGTCAAAGAGCTCTCTCTGCCACCTGTCGCTCCGGATATGCAGCTCCTCCGCTGCCCTGGGACATGGCTCCTCGGCCCCTCCAGGACATGCTCTGACCCACGTCTCTCCAGCCCACACACTCCACATCCACTGCAAGACACAGCCCCTTGTGCTCAGCTCCCGTCTGGTCACCAGAGGCAACTTCCTTCTTCAGATTAGAGTTAAAAATAGTTAAGGGGTGGGAGGGGGGAATACTGCCAAGGGAAGAGGGAGAGAGAAAGAAAAAGGAAAAGGAACTGGCGAGCAGAGGAGCTCCACATGGAGTATCTTGCCCTTCTGCTTATCCTGTTCTATGATGGGAGGCTGAGTAAATTGGGTCTACACCCTCTGATATTTATAGGAATGAGAGCGATCTCATTCAAACATTCAAGATTCTTAAGGGACTTCACATGAAGTTCCTTTTGATCAGGGAATCTAAAACACCGGTTACCACCTCAGCATAAGGGACTGATCATTTAGGATTGAGTGAAGAAGTTTTTCCTCAACTTACAGTTAAGAATCCCTGGAATTCTCTAGTCTAGAGGTTGTGGAGTCCACATTGCTGAATTTATGTAAGGCTGGGATTGTTAGCAAAGGATATGGGATCTTAGTCTTGTAAAGGTATTGACTGTAAATGCAGGGAAGTCATGTTGAACAATAGAGGCTCAGGTTAAGCTGCAGCTGGAACATTGCATCCAGTTCTCGTCACTAAATGTCTGCTGAAATGCATCACCTTACACTCTTAAATTCAGGCCACCAGTTGACTGCCTATTTTATGAGCCTAAGTCCAGTTTTTATTGAATAGTATTTTCCTTACTGTTAAGCATCCAAATTTGGTGTCATTAGTAAATATTAAATTTTTTCTCAATATATTAATTCCAACATGTGTAGGCAAATCTTCCAAGAAGTGGCAATCATGCCCCTTTTAACCTTAACCATTTTTACATACTTTGCCCCAGAGCTCTGTTACTGGCCTGGACTTCCAATTCTAGCCTCTTCACAAACATTGAGTCGACCCGATCTGAAAAACCTTAAGGGTCTTGGGGGAGTGTGGCTGAACAAAAAGACCTCGGCTTACAGGTTCATACCTTCTGAAAGGTGGAGTCACAGGTAGACAGGGTAGTGAAGAAAGTGTTTGGTACACCTTGCCTTTATTGGTCAGTGCAATGGAGTTGGGATGTCATGTGGCTGTGTAGAACATTGGTGAGGCCACTTTTGGAATACTGCATTCAATTCTGATCTCCTTGTCACAGGATAGATGTTGTTAAACTTGGAAGGGTGCATAAAAGATTTACAAGGAGGTTGACAGGGTTGGAGGGTTTGAGCTATAGGGAGAGGCTGAATAGTTTGGGGCTATTTTTTTCTGGAACACTGGAGGCTGAGGAATGACCCTATAGAGGCTTTTAAAATCGTGAGGGGTGTGGATAGGGTGAATAGGCAAGGTCTCTCTCCCAGTGTCGGGGAGTCCAAAACTAGAGGGCATAGGTTTAAAATGAGAGGGGAAAGATATAAAAGGGACCTAAGGGACAACCATTTCATGCAGAGGGTGGTGTGAGTATGGAATGAGACGCAAGGGAAAGTGAAGGAGACTGGTACAATTTCAACATCGAAAAGGCATCTGGATGTGTAAAAAATAGGAAGGGTTTAGAGGGATATGGGCCAAATGCTGGCAAATGGGACTAGATTTATTTAGGATAGCTGGCCGGCATGGACAATTTGGAAACAAAGGGTCTGTTTCTGTGCTCTACAGCTCCTACTCTATACAACACAGGATCACTGCTGGAGGCTCACATCTCCTTGCCCCAACCTCCTTTTTACAGTAATCCATGCTGCATTCCACGGTTTAAAGGCATTTTGACAAGGAGGGAAGAAATTATGCAAGGTAAGGGGGTTGGGGAATATTATTGTTGGAGAGGATTAAGCTAAACTTAAGATATTGGTAAGATATTTGTAAACAGAAACATAGTATAAAATTTTTTGCAGGATGTTCCAATGAACCTTGCAGTCCACTTGTTTGGACTTGGTTGGAGTATTGCATGTAGCTTTGTGGATGTGGGTGTTCTCGAGGGTGCAGAGGAGATGTACCTAAATGGTTTCAGGGATGGGAGATTTTAGCAAAAAAGTTAGGTTAGAGAAGCAAGGGATTTTGTCCTTGAAGTAAAGGAGATCTGACAGAGGTATACAGATTATTCAAGGGCTAAATAGGATAGATGAGGAAAGCTGTTCATATTCATTGATTGTACAAGGACTAGGGGACACAGATTGAAGATTTTGGTCAAGACATGCAGGTGTGACTGGAGAGATGCAGAAGACATTTCAAAGAATAATCTCAGTAATGAGGGATTTCAGTTATGAAGTTGGATTGGAGAAGGCAGGGCTGTCTTCCTTGAAGAAGACAAGGCTGAGGGGAGGTCCAGTTGAAGTATTCAAAATCATGAGAGGTCTGGAAGGAGCAAAGGAGAGAAAATATTCCTATTCATGAAAAGATGGAGAATGAGGGGTCACAGATTTGAAGAAATTGGCAAAAGGAGCAACAGCAACATAAGGAAAGATATTTTTACACAGTGAGTGGTTCAAGTCTGGAATGGACTGCCTGAGAATTTGGTGGGGGCAGGTTCAATCAAGGCATTTAAAAGGGAATTGGACATCTAGAATGAACGTGCAGGGAAACAGGGAGAGGACAAGGCAGTGGCAATAGGCAATATGCCCATTTAGAGAGTCTACACAGACATAGTGGGCTGAATTATCGCCTCTTTCATTGTAACAATTCTAACATTCTGAGAAGATTTACAAACGGTGAATAGTAACGGCCTGGAATTTGCTGCTGTGATGGGAGTGGGGGCAGAAGTGACGAATGATTTCAAACAGAAAATGGATGAACACAGAAGAGAAACAACAAAGGTGAAGGCAGGAAATGGGATTGAGTGATCTCCCTGTACCCTAATGGCTCTAGACTCTTGTGTCCACCCATGCCAATAGCCTACCTATGTCCTCCTGAGTTCTAAGACAACCCTTTCCACATTTCATAATACTCCCAAGTTTAATGTACCCTGCAAATGCACTGTGGAATTGTACTGTAAACATCTGGTTTTAGTTCTTTGATATAAATTATTGCTGACATAACAGATCCCTTTCTCTAGTTGTATAAATTATTGTGTTTGAAATATGCCATTTTTGCATTTCTCCTGATGAATCCAAGATAAACAAATTCAGCAATATATTTCACTTTTTAAGCATATCAATGTTCTCTCCTCCCAAGTGACTGTTCATTTCGATCAAAAATCGCAGAGGTTCTGGGGAGCCTCACTGTATCATTATCCAGTCCCAAGAAACAATGGTAATTGGATTTGATAAATCTGATAATTAAACGACAGATCTGTTCATTGAAATCAATAAACTTGTGGACTAACAAGCGAGAGAAAATGATCAAGCCAGAAGATTGTTTTAGAAAACCCAAATTCTCAGGAATAAAAGCGATATCATGGATGCAGTAGTAGAGAGGATCTATTCTCTTCCTTTCACCCTTAATGTGCAACATTTTTGCATGTTTTTTTCCTCTTTCTCCACTATTCACAACCCCTTGTCTTTTGCACTCGGCCTCTACCTTGTTGAAAGCATATAAGAAAATCATTATCCAACACCTTGCATTTCCAAAGAAGTCATGCTGGACTTGAAGTGTTAACTCTCCAGAAGCTGCCAGACATGCCGAGTCTCTCCAGCCTTCTCTGTGTTTGTTTTAAATGTTTAGTACATTGCCTTCAGCAAAATGAATTTTTCACATTTCTCCAGTCTAATCTACACATGACGTGAGACCAACCTTTTTCATTTTATTTTTGCTGCCCTCTGAAGCGGTGAAATATGCTCAGCAGCTATTAAGTTACTATGAGGGTAAGCAAAATTACTTTAAAAATAATTTAAATGTTAACAAATTCATGCAGTCGAAAATTACTTGAAATATCCAATACTTGTCTCTCATAGCCATTCAGGCAAGTTCATTCCATGTAGACATCCTTCTGATATGATGGTGGCCTTATTAAGTTCACACAAATGCTGA